GAACAACTTGACAATAATAAATAATATCAGCGGTTCAGTGAACTCTCTGCTATTAGGAACGAATTCCAACTCTTCGATGAGTGTGTCTGCGACTTCATTTGATGAAAAACTGACATTGGGCGATGTTGCTGACGCCGATTCGACATCAGCGATGGTGACTGCGTCGGCAGCAGCGTCATCTGCAGCAGCTGCGCGTGCGTCAAACACACGAGTAGTTTTCAATAAAGCTATAGAAGCCATTCAAGCTACCGGCCATTGTCGGGGTTTTTTCAAGCGAATCGCAACGGCCGAGCCAGAAATGCAGGTAGCAGCCACACAGCAGCAGCCAAATTTCGGTGTGTACTGTATCAGATGGCGGCGTACCGGAACCAAAGATGAAAACGAATCAAAATTCCTTATTCATGGGTTGGAGATAGAAGAGCCGCCCTTAAATATTTACTGCACGATTGAAGAGAAGATGTTTGTGAAAATGCCCATGACTTACAAGGTTGTTTTGCATAACCCCACCTCCAATGTGTTGCATTTGGTGGCAACACTAAGCATAAGCATCGCGGATAATTTTATTTGTTCTGGGCACAAACAAGTAAGCAAAAAATCTTTGAAGGCTATTTTTATTTCTTTTCTTTTTTCTCTGCATTTCAGCTTGATATTTCCATATATGCCTATAGTGAAAAACAGCTAGTGTACAATCTCTACCCTCTATGCGTCGGCTGGGTGAACTTACCCGAGTTAACACTCGAGTACAATACAAAAGGCGATCCCGGCAAAGACGACACGCATAACAATGCACTCGCCGAATTAGTCCAGCGGTCCATACCAAAGAAGGTTTTCGTATTGGTAAGTAAAGGACGACACCCTGAAAAGCATATGAAAAAACCCGAAATAATAGTGCATATGCACACTTTCGTTTGAAAACCGAAATAACGCATAGAAAAAAACCGAAATAGTGCATACATGCACAGTTTCGACTCAAAACCGAAAAGCGCATATGTAAAACTCGAAGTAATGCATACATACACGTTCTAAAAGCGATATAATGCATATGAAAAAAAAGTTATGCATACATGGTTGAAAACCGAAATAATGTCTAAATACACAGTTTCCATATGCGCAATTTCGGTGCCCCGCAAACTACAGACGATGAGCAAAAAATGAAGAAATCAAACATCCTGTTAGAAACCAGAGAAAGGATTGTCGGGGTTGGTCTAATAAAGTAGGAGTATATGCAATCTTCCTAAGCTTCATAGAATCTACATATAGAAACGCGATGGGGGCACAATTAGAAGTGGTTGGGGTCCTTAGTCACATTTAGACCAAACTTTAGGTAGATTGGGGTAGTTACTGGGCAGTTTCCAAAGAAGCATGGAATCTAGAGCTCTTGTTAAAAATTTGACTATCCGGCTATTCGATTAGTCGACTAGTCGATTAGCAACTTTTGTGTCGGTTGATAGTCGAATAGCAATTATTCGGTTAACCGATAGAGTTCGGCTAACCGATCGAGTTCGGCTAACCGATCGAGTTCGGTTAACCGTTCACTTTTACATTCGAACGACATGGCCAAGCCAGCGTAGCCGCTGTCCATGACGTTGTAAAGCTCATACAGTTCATCCTTCCAACGTCTACGGTACTCGCCGTCGCCAACGCGAAAAGGCCCGTAAATCTTCCGCAAAATCTTTCTCTCGAACACTCTAAGAGCCGCCTCATCGGATGTTGTCATTGCTTCTGTGCCATATACCAGCACGGGCATGATGCGTGACTTATAGAGTGTGGTTTTTGTACGTCGAGAGAGGACTTTACTCCTGAATTGGCTACTCAGTCCAAAGTAGCACTTGTTGGCAAGAGCGATTCTGCGTTGGATTTCCATGCTGACATTATTATCGGTGTTAATGCATATTAGACTGCATCACCAAAAAAAAGTTTATATTTTAAGATGTCCAGCAAAATATTTCGGAAAAATCTTAAGATTTACGTGAGCTGGACCGATTGCAAAATACCTCCAAAAACGGAGTTTTTATGAATAAAAATAGTTTCTTAAAGGATTTTTTGGAAAAAATCTCCTCAGATGACGAAACAGTTTAAACCTTAAAATCTGCATAAAGGCCGTTTTTTAACTTTTCTCAAATATTTGTTTAAGAAAAACTTGATTACCTGGGCCAAAACCATACCGACATAGACTTGTGAGGTGTCATAGGAAAGGTATTTTCTCACCCTTTTTATTTCTTTGCAAAAAAAAACTTATTCACGTCGCAATTTTTTCTTTATCAAATACCAACACATCCTAATTCAACATGGAATGAGGCTCGTTTGTATTACCTTTCTCTTTCATGCTTCGAATGAGCTTATTTGCAAAGAAATAAAGAGGATGAGAAAATACCTTTCCAATGATACCTTGTAAGTGTGAATCGGTACAGTTAAGGCTGAGTTATTCAAAGTTTTCTTAAACCACCGAATATTATTTTTTTTTTATATGTATGTTACCGCATAACTTTGGACTACGTCAGCCGATTTCGATCATCAGAGCTGGTGTCCCATACTAATCTGGTTTAGATACGATTATTGGATCATGAAATATATATATAGATATATTTTTTTAAGTCGGAATTTTTTTGCTAAACATTACTTGTTATTTATGTAACTTCAAATTACTTACATTGTTTGCGATATGTTAGAAAATTATTCTTCATTAAAGTCTGCAGCACTTTGTCCGAATTTATTTAGCACGGGAACATACCTCTCTGCCAAAAGCCTAAAAAACGTTTTAAGGTATAACATTTGCCTTTTTGAAACTTTGAGGCGCTTAAAGCAAGTGAAGCAAAGCTGCTATTTGGCCGGACTTCATACGTTTTAGGGACTGTGCCGAATAAAATTACCTAGTTGTGAGATTTTCAAAAACAAAAGCATTTTATTTTTAGAATTAACCACAAATTCTAACATAAAGTTGCAAAGAAACAAGAGCTACAGTTTTTTAATAAAAGTGTTAGTTTTTTCGGAACCCCGGCAATTAGCGTTATTGAAGTGTCTAACACCCTTACAGCTGCTAAAGCCCACTTTCCTTTAAAAGCCCATTTTCATTCAGCCTTAGTTTGGATCAGTTTGGCAGATTGACTTCTTTTGGGACCAAATATACATTATTCCTTTGAGCCATAATGACTGCAAGCATTACTTCACATATAAACCTTTGTTGATTGTCCCCGATGCCACAAATGAGTTCCTTTTTTGTCACAAGTGCAGAGGGGCTGCAAAACTAGGGCTCACCCCTATTCTGCATTTAGACTCGAATCGAAATTTTCTCCGTTTGGCAACTTCTGCGTTCCGTTTCCTTTCGATCAATCTTCGAAATTTACGATTATACCTATTCTACATTTCGATCGTAGTTCCGTTTTTCTAAGTTGCAAATTTGCTGACGGAGAACGTTTCGATTGTTATTTTCGTGGGTTTAAATAATAGAATTTATTAAAAAAAATTAAGTAAAATATACTGTGCATGATTGTAAAATGTGAAGCTACATAAAAAAGAGATTTTTTTATTGCACTCGTTTTTACTAAATTTTTAAAAACGGGTGTGTATGTTGTCTTGATTTGCTATGGAAGGATAAGCTTTGTTCTTCCCCTCCTCCTGAAGGCTTTCAAAATGGAATTCATTTGTGTTCAAATCTTCCACTCTGTAGTAATTGCAAATGTTGTAGAGTGCTCAAACAACGTTTATAATTTCACTGGATTTGAGCGATGAGTTCAAGATGAAATTCTTATTACTCTTCACTCATCTGAGAAGGATCAAACATGTCCCTAAATCTCCGCCTTTCAACTTCCGCATCAGCAATCTGGGACTCGTCCTCCTTTTCAAGCAACAACGCCGCGGCTATGGATTTCATTCTTATAATTATGTTTCCACTTAAATTAAGAGCAAGCGAAATTTTATTTTTAAATAAGTGATGCTAAATATATTTAGTTATTTTAAAATATTTACAAACTCCAACTTCATAAGCTGCTATAGTTTGGTGGCCAATATTTCATTGTTTTGTTTCGATTTCATAAATTCCTAGGCAAACAGCCGATTACGAAAGAAGTTTTCTATCTTTCTCATCCTCTTTCGATTCGATCGTAAGGCAGAATACCTAAGTTCGATTCTTGCGGAGCGGAATGCGGGAACGTAATCGAAATGCAGAATAGGGCAAACTTTTTCTCAGGTTTTCAGCTGCATTTCCTAGAGAATCAGCTGTATGAGAAATTATTGTCCTGGAAAATAAAAAAAAGGTCGCTAACACGTACTCTCGTCGTTTAATACGCAACACACGATTTGTTACTCGTTTTTTTTTTGCGGTATCCTTCTTGACAGACTTTTTTTCTGAAACTTTCTTATTCTTGTGAATCTTCCACCTTGCGTCTTATATTGTTATTCGCAAAAATTATTCTAAGAAGCTAATCTTACTTACCAATTTCATCCTTGAAATGTTCAGATTCTTCCTTAGTGTGGTCACAATTCCCCTTGCCTTTTCGCGAGCATGTAACTCCTTCTATTTATCCGAACCTTTTTTTCTAGCAATACGTCATCCGGCTTTGAAGTGTTTAACAACCCTGAAATCTTCTTCGTGGTAACTCCCACCTCTTAGATTATTTTCTGATATTTTATGCAGAGATAATATGATACAAAAAATTTAATTTGAATATTTCAGTAGTATTATATGGAAGAAGTATGACGGGCAATTTTATTCGACGCAGTCTAGTATATTTAAAATAATTTTTGACAGTTCTCACAGCGAAGCAAGCAAAGCAAGCCTTCATTGGACTAGTGCCTTTAGACATGTGTTTTGTAAAGATTATTAAATACTAATTTTTGACCATTTTTTTTGTTTATTACAGCCACCGCTGAAGCAGCAGATAAAGTGAGCATCGAATGTAATCGAATAAGTGACTCCTGCTGAGTATGTATGCAAGATAAAAAGTTTCAAAAATATAGAAATGAAGAGTTTGGATATTTATGCCCAACAGCGATCTATAATGTTTGATATTCGCGAACGGAATATGTAAAGAAAATCTTGTAAAAAAATATAAAAGTATTGAAATTTGATAATTCTAAAGCAATTTTACTATAATGCCTCTTTAAATGTTAAATTAAATACATACTAGGATACGATTTAATGGACATAATGTGTCAGTATATTTTACATTTCTGCATAGCATATTTTTTATCTTTTATTTTTATTTTTCTTTTTTAAATGTATTTTTATGACATGTTGCATAAAGTGTGCTAATACAATTAGTATAGTAGTTTAAAAAAATATGATACACTCGTTCTACTAGCATTACAGTGTTGTGAAAAACGAATTAATTTTAATTGTATCTGTGTTAAAACAACCTAAATTCACGAAATTAAAACTACAATAAATAGAAGTGTTGCATTTTACTGCATGGTATACTCATTTATGGAACCAACCAGACCATAATCGTTTGTGTACATATGTATGTAGATGGATTAATAACAGTGCAACACTAGGGTCTCATAGCTTTTGATCACTTGGTATCACTTGTTAGTCGAGGTGAATTTAAAAACCCCTCTTCTTTGGCTTCGATTTTCGCTCTAAAATATACATTATACGATTTTTCAAACAATTACTGGTGATAAAATATTCTATATCTTACCAATAAGCGATTTCCAAATAACATTTTTGCTTTGTCTTCTTCCTGAGGCGACGAACGTTCGCCAGTAGATGTTCCCGGTTGTCGTCTGTGTATTTGAAGTTTCTGCTTTATAGCTTGTGATAAAATCACCCGTCGACTGACTGATTTCATGGCCAACAGCAAATCTAGCCAAGTCCACGTAACATTGTGGTACTCGAGTGTTGGTATAACTAGCGAAAAGTCTGTGATATCCTCAAGGTTTTTCTCTTTGTTTCCTTTGTAACTTACGCGAACAGGCACTTCCGGTATTTTTATGTAAATAAACAGTTTATTTTTCTCAGCACGCTCTTTCATCTTTTCCACGTCATCCTTTTCGATTTTTACATAGAACTCGGAATCCTTGGAACTCTTTTTCGTTTTCGACGGTTTCTTTGAAGTTTTCGTTTGTGCTGCCGACGAGGATGAAGAACTGGACGAATTCTCTTCAATGTCATCTACAGCCTCTGTTTCGGAAGCATCACGATCGGGAAAGCAGAATTTCAACATTGTGCTGTAGAATTTCTTAGTTATGGCGATTGTAATTGGCGCCACATTAATTTCAAAATGTTCCTTGACTGAAATTCCGCCTACCGGAGGTTTCTCACGACAAAAAACACGAAGCACGCGTTTATGTGTGTCTATAGGCATATCTTTTTGGATCTCTGTTGGCATGAGAACCTCACGGTAAATCTCACGCGGTATCAAGTTACTCATACGAATATTTCCCAATTCCAGCAAATGCTCCACGGAGTCGTCACTTTTCGATTTTTTAGTATATAAAAAGCCGCTGAGTACCAAGTCAGATATACCGATTTGGCCATCAGTTTCTGTGAGTCGCCACTGAGCACGTTTAAAACAAATCTCATTCGCACGAACTATAGTTAGGGATTTATCGGCTCGAACCTAGTTTTTTTTAAAAACCAAATGAAAAATTAAAATATTGAAATTATTTTTTTCAAAATCTCACTTACATTCGATATTTTGCTGAGTTGAGAAAGCTGAGTTTCCTTGTAACAAAGTAACATCATATCAAGCTCCTCACTTAGTGTATTCAATTCTTCTTTACTCTCCCGAATTTGCAGCTGTACGCGTTCGAATTCTTGTCTCAACTCCAGCGTGTCGCCCTCCTCTGCACGATCCTTGCCTATCAGATGTATGTCTTTCTCCAGCGAACGAATTTTCATCAGCAAGCTTCGTATCATAGTTTGCTTCTGCTGAATCGGCCGCTTCTGATCTTCCGTCGAGTGCAGCTGCAATTGAAAGCGCATACGCGCCAATTTCTCTAACGCTTGTTTGCGTTGTGGTTCCACGTACAGTAACAAATTGTTTACGATATCTAGAATCATAGCATATTGCAAGGAGTTCGTGCAGACGTCCAAATCATGATGCATCAAAGTGAACGCATCCACTGGATCATCCTGTTTTTCCCACGGCGATAGAGTTTCCTCTGATGGTGGCGGTGGAACTTCGGTTATAGTATTTGGATCGATAGTGTCACCGTAGCTAACGTAGAAGAATTCACATTTACATCGTGATACTATGCGCTGCAGCTGAACAGGTTGAGTTTCGCCCGGATTTTCATTGGACAAGGCGCCCACCGTCTCCGATACGACACCTCCCACACTACGACCACTGCCCACAAGATGCGGAATGTCGGGCAAATCATTTATAACAGTATCGTCTTTATCCTGAAATGTATTATTACTAAATAATTAATAACCGATTACCACACCTAGCATACAATCGGACATACTGCATAGCGCGCTGACAATTATTAATGTTATGGTTGGTATCTGTAAATCTGTCAGTTACACCTACCGAACCATTTAAGCCGAAAATGTAATAATAGACATAGAACGTTGTGCAGTATAACTGGCAAGATATATTTATGTACATATGTATGTATGTACATATGTATGTATGTACATTAGACTGCATCACCAAAAAAACATTCCCACGACAGCCGGTTCTACGTACCGGAATGACTCGGGTTTTACCCGACCAAGGGCTGTTGTTTCGACGATCTAACCGTTTAGGTCGGCGAAGTATCTCAGAAGTTGTTCGTCAATAGGGCTACATTCACTACGTATTCTTCTACTCAGGGCTGGCATCGAGTCAAACCCAGGGCCAGAAACCTACACCTGTTGTGTATGTCGGAGACGATTACACCGCAACTCCACCTCAGTCAAGTGTAATGCCTGCGAGGGGTGGAGTCACCTTAGAGTCTGCTCAGGACTACGGACACATCGACAGTGGACCACGACGTACGTGGCCCCCTGTTGCTTAATCGAAGCAGACATCGACCGCAGGGATACCACCCTAGAATGTCAGGGCATCGCTATCCGGTCAGGCGATGTTGAGCTCGAAATATTTAACATATACATACCCCCTGTCACCTGCTGCCCGGCAGGATATCACCCTGATATAGGTGCGCTCCTCAGAGGTGAAAACCGTATGGTAGTAGGTGACTTTAATGCGCACCACGATCTTTGGCACTCAAGCCTGTCAAACGATCGTAGGGGAACAGACTTGGCTGAGCAGATAGACGATTCGACATTCTGCACAATGAACGACGACGCACCCACCAGGATTATGGGTAGCTGCAGCAGCTCGCCAGACATCACAATAGTCAGCGCTGGTCTGATAAACAGCATAACGTGGCGACCTATGCTGACTCTAGCATCAGACCATCTACCCATAGTCATCTCGATTGATAAACCAACCGACTTTGCCTCCGCCAAACACCGGACCTATATCAACTTTTCTAAAGCTGATTGGAAAGGTTACGCGGAGTTTACCGAAAACACCTTCACAGCGCTCCCCACACCAACCGACGTCCATCTCGGTGAACGTAAGTTCCGCAGGGCTGTCACTGCTGCTGCAGCTCGCTTCATACCGGCAGGATGTATATCGGACCCACGTCCAAACTTCCCTGCCGAAGCGGCTGTTCTAGCCGATGAGCGTGATAGCCTTCGTCAGGCCGATCCCGGAGATCCCCGTATCAGGGATCTCAACGCGGAGATTCGGCAACTAGTAAACGTACATAAGCGGAAGAAGTGGGAGGAGCATCTGAAGACCTGTAATTTCACCTCTGGTGTGAGCAAGCTTTGGTCAACCGTGAGGTCATTGTCTAATCCGACGAAGCACGACGACAGAGTCGAAATTTCCTTCGGCGACCATGCTTCGTCGGACCCGGAGCGATGCGCGAGCTATTTTAGCCGGCAGTTCATACTGCATCCTCCGGTGGACAAAGCCAAGCGTCGAGTGACCAGAAGGCTGCACAAACTGCCAACAACCTGTGCCCCCCTTGCTTTCACTTGCGGTGAAGTTCAGGTGGCCATCGGGAAGGCGAAAGCCTCCAAAGCCATGGGTCCCGACGGAATATGCATGCTGATGCTGAAAAATTTGGGTCCTGCGGGGGTAGCGTACCTAACGGAGGTCCTCAATTTGTCAATGGCCACTCTCATCATCCCAGACATCTGGAAGGTGGGGAGAGTGGTCCCACTGCTCAAACCGGGGAAACCTGCCAACAAAGGAGATTCGTATCGTCCGATTACACTCCTTTCCCCGGTAGCGAAGACACTCGAGGCCTTGCTACTCCCGTACTTCACAAACCACCTGACCCCAGCGAAGCATCAGCATGGTTTCCGTAAAGTGCACAGTACAACAACAGCACTTAACGCCATAAACACTCAGATAACTCGTGGCCTTAACCGTAACCGTCCCTGTGAGAGAACGATTCTAGTAGCGTTGGACTTGTCAAAGGCGTTTGACACCGTCTGCCATTCCACGCTACTAGAAGATATAGAGGCCTCCTCTCTCCCACAGAGGCTCAAACGGTGGTCGGCAAATTATCTGAGTGGTCGACATTCGTCGGTAATGTTTAGAGACAAAACGAGTAAGCAGCGAAAAATAAAACAGGGGGTTCCTCAGGGTGGTGTCCTTTCCCCGCTACTGTTTAACTTTTATATTTCAAAGCTCCCTCAACCACCAGAGGGAGTCTCGATTGTCTCCTATGCCGACGATTGCTCGATCATGGCGACTGGGAATGGAATTGATGACCTGTGTTCGAAAGTAAACGGCTATCTCTCCGAACTTTCTCGCTTCTTCACTGCAAAGTGTCTAGCCCTCTCCCCTACGAAATCCTCCGCGACCCTGTTCACAACCTGGACGAAGGAGGTCAGGCTACCGCTGGGGATTCACGTCGATGACACACCAATTCCGACGGTGAATAACCCCAAAATACTCGGAGTAACATTCGACAGCCTGCTCTCCTTCTCTGCGCACTCAACCGCTATTGTCAATAAAGTACAGAGCCGCAACAAGGTCCTCAAGTCGCTAGCCGGCAGTACTTGGGGCAAAGACAAAGAAACGTTGCTGGCAACATACAAGGCAATAGGCCGGCCGGTTTTGAACTACGCAGCGCCAGTGTGGTCGCCAGGGACTAGTAGGACGCAGTGGACGAAGCTACAGACTGTACAGAACACCGCACTCAGGACAGCGACAGGATGCCTCCTGATGTCGCCTGAACACCACCTACACGGCGAGGCGCAAATGCTCCCTGTAAAGGAGCACAATATAATGCTCTGCAAGCAGTTCCTGATCGGGAGCCACAGAAGTGGCCACCCAAGCAGACAGCTGCTTGCAGAGGAGCCCTCGCCTAGGCACGTCAGGAGGCATCTATATGAACTGACGGACGAAGTCCAGAGGTTCATTAAGCAACCTCTGGACCCGACAGCGTACAGACAGGCCCTGAACGGCATTCACAGGGACTCAGTCTCGAGTTATGTAGACTCTAGACCTGTGAATGCCGTTCTAGGCACACCACCCCCGGACATAGACGAGACGGAGCTTCATCTGCCTCGGGAGACTCGCACAACACTTGCACAACCTCGGTCCGGCTACTGCAGCAGGTTAAACTCCTACCTGAGTAGGTTGAATGAGGATGTGCCGAATGAGTGTCCGGCATGCGGAGAGACCCGACATGACTCGAAACATCTCTTCGCATGCCCGGAAAACCCGACAAACCTAACGGCCTTGTCCCTGTGGACAAACCCCACAGAAGCTGCACGCTTCCTAAAGTTGCCGTTAGTGGAACTTGACGACAACGACTGAGATACTAACCGTCCTGGGCGGGGTTGTGTAGCAACCCGAAGCGAATCAAAAGCAAAAAAAGTAGTGTTATTGCTACTGTGCTGACAGTTTTTCAAATTCTAATCGTAACAGTCGTGAACGAGCAACTCGTCACATTCCCACGACAGCCGGTTCTGCGTACCGGAATGACTCGGGTTGTTTCGGCGATCTAACCCCATTTAGGCCGGCGAAATACATAAAACGTTGCTCGATACTAGGGCTACATCTGCTCCGTACCCTTCTGCTCAGGGCTGGCATAGAGTCCAACCTAGGGCCAGAAATCTACACCTGCTGTGTATACCAGAGACGATTGCATACAAACTCCACCTCGGTCAGGTGCAATGCCTGTGACGGGTGGAGTCATCTCCGTACCTGCTTGGGGCTACGTCGCACCGGCAATGGACCACAACGTTCGTGGCCCCATGCTGTGCGAATCGGACCGCCTCCACGGCAAACCGCCCCCCGCCCGTGCAGCACACAACAATAGACACACAAACAAACACCACAGCAGCCACACACCGCCGCCGGCAACTCCTAGTCCCTCGGACGATCTGCTCGGTTTGTCAGTCCGGAATATACCGTAAATTCAGTCAAGTGCAACTCCTGCCTTGGCTGGTCCACTTTAAGGCATGCTCAGAACTTCGCAGCACGCGGGATTGGACGAGTGACCTAAAATGTCAGGGTATCGTTATCCGGTCAGGCGATGTTGAGCTCTAAATATTTAACGTATATATACCACCTGCCACCAGCTTCCCGGCTGGACATCACCCTGAAATAGCTGCGCTACTCAGAAGTAAAACCGTATGGTAGATGGCAACTTTAACGCGCACCACGATCTTTGGCACACAGGCCAATGATCGTAGGGGAACACATCTGGCTGAGCATATAGACGATTCTACATTCTGCACAATGAACGACGACGCATCCACTTGGATTATGGGCAGCTGCTGCAGCTCGCCAGATTTAACAATTGTCAGCGCTTGTCTGATAAAGAGCGTATCATGGCGACCTATGCTAACCCTAGCATCAGACTATCTGCCCATAGTCATCTCGATTGATAAACCTGCCGATTTTGCTTCCGCGGATCACTGGACCTATATCAACTTTTCCAAATCTGACTGGAAAGGCTTCGCGGATGTTTCTGAAAACGCCTGCACTGCACTGCCGACCACCAACCGACGTTCACGTAGGTGAACGTAAGATCCGCAGGGTTGTCACTGCTGCTGCAGCTCGCTTCATCCCAGCAGGATGTATCATGGATCCACTTCCGAATTTTCCTACTGAAGCGGCCGTTCTAGCCGATGAGCGCGACAGCCTTAGTCAGGCCGATCCCGGAAATCGCCGTATCAGGGATCTCAACGCGGAGATTCGGCAACTTGTGAACGTACATAAGCGGAAGAAATGGGAAGAGCATCTGAAGACCTGCAACTTCGCTCTGGTGTGAGTAAGCTTTGGTCAAGCATGACGTCATTGTCCCAACCGGCGAAACGTGACGGCAGAGTTGAAATATACTTTAATGACCACGCTTCGTCGAATCCAGAGCAATGCGTGAGCTATTTTAGCCGCCAGTTCATTCTGCATCCTACGGCATTTAAAGCCAAACGTCGAGTGACCAGAAGGCTGCACAAACTGCCAAAACCTAGTGCGCCTCATGTTTTTACCAGCGGTGAGGTAAGGTTAGCCATCGGGAAAGCAAAAGCCTCCAAAGCCATTGGACCCGACGGAATATGCATGTTGATGCTGAAAAGATTGGGTCCTGCGGGAGTAGCGTACCTAACGGAGGTCCTCAACTTGGACATCTGGAAGATGGGGAGAGTGGTCCCACTGCTCAAACCGGGGAAACCAGCCAACAAAGGAGAGTCTTATCGTCCGATAACCCACCTTTCCCTGGTAGCCAAGACACTAGAGGCCTCGCTACTCCCGTATTTCACGAACCACGTGACCCCAGCGAAGTATCAGCATGGGTTCCGTAAAGTGCACAGCACAACAGCAGCACTTAACGCCATAAACACCCAGATGACTCGTGGCGTAAGAGAACTATTCTAGTAGCATTGGACCTGTCCAACTGTTCGACCCTATCAGTCATTCAACGCTGCTAGAAGACATAAAGACCTCCTCACTCCCACAGGGACTCAAACGGTGGTCGGCGAATTATCTGAGTGGTCGACACTCGTCAGTAATATTTAGGGACAAAACCAGCAAACCAAGAAAAATTAAACAGGTGGTACCACAGGGTGGTGTCCTACACCCACTATTGTTTAATTATTATATTTCAAAGCTCCCTCAACCACCAGAGGGAGTCAATATTGTCTCCTATGCTTACGATTGCTTGATTATGCGTCTGGGAATGGAATTGATGATTTTTCCCCTATCCTCTGCGAAATCCTTGGCAACCCTATTCACCACCTGGACGAAGGAGGTCAGACTGCAACAGAGTATTCACGACAATACCGACGGTGAATAACCCCAAAATCCTCGGAGCTACCTTCGACAGTCTGCTCTCCTTCTCGGCGCATACAACAGCAATTGTCAACAAAGTACTGAGCCGCAACAATGTACTCAAGTCGTTGGCCGGCAGCACTTGGGGCAAAGACAAAGAAACGTTGCTGGCAACATACATGGCGATTGGCCGGCCGGTTCTAAAGTGGATGAATCTACAGACCTGCCAGAATAAGGCACTTCGGACAGCGACCGGATGCCTCCTGATGACGCCCCAAAACCACCTACACGACGAGGCCCAGATGTTATCGGTCAAGGAGCATAACACAATGCTCTGCAAGCAGTTTCTTGTGGGGAGCCACAGACCTGGTCATCCTAAAAAACAGCTACTTGCAGAAGAGCCCTCGCCAAGGCACGTCAGGAGGCATCTCTACGAACTGACGGATGATGTCCAGAGATTCATTAAACAACCTCTGAACCCGTCAGCTTATCGACAGGCCCTGAGCGGCATTCACAGGCAATCGGTCTCAAGTTAAGTAGACTCCCGCCCTGTGAATGCCGTCCAGGCACACAACCACCTGACGTGGACGGGACACAACTTTGTCTGCCTCGGGAGCCCCGCACCACAATAGCCCAACTTCGCTCTGGCTATTACAGCAGGCTAAACTCATACCTGAGCAGAATTAATGAGGATGTGCCCAACCAATGTCCGGCATGTTGAGAGATGCCACATGACTCTCGGCACCTCTTCACATGTCCGGAGAACCCCACCCAGCTGACGCCCCTGTCCGTATGGACAGACCCTGTCGGAGTCGCGCACTTCCTGGGCCTCCCCTTAGCTGAAACGGACGCCAACATTGACTGAACCGATCCGAGCGGGGCTTAGTAGCCGCTACAACAACAACAACAGCAAGCAACTCGTCACGTAAAAATGCATATTTCGGATCATAACAGTCGTGAACGTACTGGTCGTCTTGTATACCGAATTACAAGACGAGCAGTACGTTCATGACTGTTATAATCCGAAATATGCATTTTTACGTGGCGAGTTGCTCGTTCACGACTGTAAACTTTGGAGCCCTGATTTAAAGTATATTTTTGAGTAGAATACCTGAATGTTGTCCACGGTGAGCCACATGATCTCCTTTTCAAGTAGAGAGTCATCTTCTCCAGCGCTAACTGTGGCATAATACTGCATACATTCGAGCAGGCCCTTCCAAGTCGTTTTGGACACAAGTGACCTATCGCGCCAGACTGGGCGGTGAACGCGTTGCAAAATCTCCGCTTTGGCGGCACTGATGATTACGTAGCCAGACGTCTCGCATCCCTTAAGCAGCACTTGAGAATTGACCAGTGATATTGACCAATTTTCGTGGATCACATCCTGAGCTGAGCAGGCCTGCAAACCCTGTAGCTGCAATTCCCGCGACTGTGTACTTTGATCATCGCTATAAACATTGAATTTGTGATCAGCTTCAGCTATTAATTGCTGCAACATCGCTGTAGCATGGCTGGCCGGTTGCACCTTCTTCATTGCACTGTTGGTACTTGTGACTGAAAAACATCGATGTAATTAGTTGCTTGCAAATCAACTATCAGAATACATAAAATTTTGAATGTACTCACTAGGTAGTACTTCGGTTTGGTTATTTGTGAGAGTTATTGTACTATCGCTGCGTTTGTTTTTCATAACATTGGAATTGGTCTCTTTGCGATAGCTTTTTACAGCTTCCGTCGACAAATTGTTCTTTAGCTTCTGTGACTTCATGAAAGAATCAAAGAGCGCAAACGCAACGTCACGATTATTTTTGGTCCATGCGCCCTTAAGGTCGTAAACGACCAGTTTATGCGTGGGCGTTGTATTTTTTGCTTTTGTCTCCTCCTCTTGGCTGTTTGCGGTTTGTATGAGCGCCTCTCGACCATATGAAACTTTCGCCACGCTTAAAAAGTAGAATCTCACTATTTTGAAGGCATCCCCCACACTTGCTAGGTTCTCTGAACTGCTATCTAATTTCTCAGTAAGTATACTCTTCAACCATATTTCAGCATCGTTTAATTCGCAATTCATATACACAGTGGACCAATCAGCACGCGGTCTATGAATAAGTCCATCGTCAATGGGATTTAACGATAAACAATATTCCGAGCTAAAAGAAACACGCCCACCGTTCAATTGGAAACCCTTGTGCAGGGCATGAGACATCCAGTATAGTACTTGGAAACGATGCAAACTCATTTGCAAGTTTGCTTTTTTGTAATGTCGACTGAGTTGCTTTTTTCGGGGGCGCACATTATTAAATACCGGCCCGCGTCGGGTTGGACGGGTAACGCCTGATAGAATCAGCTTAAGGCTCTCGAACCAGCGGAGGGTGCTGCCGTATAGAACCAAGCTGGGAATGTCGATTTCCACCTCCTCGCCAGGCTTCGGTTTTGTTTCAAAAGAAATCCAAATATTCAAGTTAAGTGAACGAAAGGCACGGAAGGAATCATGAACCTGGTTGCTGGAATATTCTGGCAGCTTGTCCGGCGCACAAGGCATAACCGCGTGATGATCGTTTGGATTCGCCAAACAAACCCAATTCAGCTTAAAGGTCAATTTCAAGTTAGGAAAGTGTAATAGACGGCAATCATCGTAACGCGATGCGGTACGTACTGTAATCTGTTATGGTATCTCATGAAAAAGTACAAATATTTTATATACTTGTTTAGAAATACATACATTTAATTCGCCTTTGAACATAATTTTAGCATTTGTCCACACAATGCCAGCATTGTTCCATGTCAACTCCATTTCTTCTGTCGTATTATAGGGATCCAGCGAAGCGTGCAATAGAACTGTGAATTGCTTAACAATCATGGTTAACCGACCATGAAAGAGAAGGCGCATTTTGTCCCAGAAAGGCAGTGGTGGACTGGGATCTTTGGATGGCGCAGAAATTTTCTCAAAACTAAGATTGCATTGTGCCATTACCGGTTCCCAACAGGGTCCAAAAGCGTAGCTACAAAATTCCAACTCGCAATCGAAGTCATGGTAAAACTTTAAAGATGGCATGCTGCGTTGGACTACATCGGTGCCAAACGGCTCGCCAACTTCAATGAAAACATCTCGTTTCGCCCGTTTGGATGCTGCTTGCTCAGCTCCGCATAAATTACCAAATAGATGCATAGATTTAACGTAAAACATTGGCTGTGGAAAATCTCTGCGTATTAAAGAAAATTTATTCGATAAATATACATGCTTTACACGCAACAATTGTCTTACCGTAACATAAATTTCCATTCTGTACAGCTTATATTTACGCTACGACACCAAAGTGTAGTGAACTCCAGACCTTCTTCCGGCCAAGGGCTTTCGCAGTCAATGTCGCGCATTATACGGGTCACATTATCAGCGCCATGGACCGATGGATCTGCCATTGCCATTATTTCTACGTCTGTCATAATCCATGCCAGCAACCTAGTACGGACTGGCCCGCTTTCTCTAATTTTTTTCGAGCGCTGAATGTATATCTCAGAGTTTTTCTGAACAAGACTCGCATACAGACTTTCAATCGTGCTTGCTGGAACCAGGCAACGCTCGGCAATTTTTTTATCGAAAATTGCTTTGCGTTTTAGACCCTCTAAATATTCGTCCACAAGCAGAACGTAGTTATCACGCAACTTGACTTCAAAGGGATCATCGCTGATTTCCAATAAAAATTCTTTTATCTTTAAATAAAAATGTAATATAGTAAAATTTGCTTGAAGGATATTATCACCTAGAACTTTAATAAATAATCGGCCCTATGCTGAATATCGCTATCGTCATCGTCGACGATCGTCAGCGCATCAGTAACATGGCTGACCATGGCCGTATCGTCACTTATACTGACGATGACGATATTCAACATAGGGCGGAATAGAAACAACTTACTTGTATAACCATATCACTTGGCAAAGGTGAGCTGGCAGTAAATGCTTTCTTTTTGTAGTTGTGTACCAATTTAAGCCATTTGAAATGCGACACAAACTCATTTTGTATAGCATCATAAAAATCATGGTCGTAAGGAAAGATGGCCTTCACATAAAAATTAAGTTCAAAAGCTGTTAATACCAACTCTATAAATGAAAAGTACCTTAAATGTCCCAATTGTGGTAACCCAAACTTTATTGGTTAGCAGCGCAAAGCCATCACAATTTACACGCTCTTGCGTCAGCATATCCAAACGTGCCAGTGACTGTACATCTATATCTTTCAGTGTAAATATATGCTGATCATCTATTTTAATGAAAATATTTTCTGCCGAGATGAAGTTTCCTTCTTTGTGACTGAAGAATAAGTTCTCTACAAACCACTGAACTGTGTGCCTTTCAGAAAGCTTAATTTCAAAAACGGTACTCAACTCAGCTGATAGTTCAATAATCCAAGGTCGTTTAAAACGCTCAGACTTCATTTCAGGATCGTTCTGAGGTAAAGCTAGTTCAGTGCATAAATCTCTCATATCTCTGGCCAAGGTCAATATGTGCATGTGCAAATTAGAGTTCCACGTGCCTTCTGTATTGCTAGGAATGTATACCGAAATTTTGTTTTCATTTTTTTCATGCTCAATGCGTACGGTTTTGCAGCTTGCGAATATGTCGGTGAAGTCGTTGAGACAAAGAGATGAAGAATTCATTGAGCGCATAATAGCCATTTGAAATTCTTCAAATTTAAAGCTGGATACTTGTTGCTTACGTGATAATGATATGTCTGAGAAACTTAAAAGCAAACAAGCTTGGTGATGGTTTATAAAATAGGCGGTTATATCTTTAATCCGTGCAGAGATCAGTAATCCACTTGATATTTGATTTGTGCCGGCTAATTGGCCCCGCAATGGTCGTTTCCCAGCGCTAACTGTTGAAGAATTTAGACCTCCATATTGTTTGACACAGTTAACTGATTTCACAATAAACTCAGCCAAACTCATACTATATTCGGTACGTAATGTATGAATGGAAACCTCTAGTTTTGTGACACTAGCATACGAACTCAGTTTGACTAAACTCAGTCCCAAAAAGAATGGAGAGCCTGGAGAATGTGATTTCTTTAAGTTATTAGTATCATTTATAGAATTTCCCAATGACCACCAAAGCGACTCAATCATCAATTCGGTACTCCAATGGCGCTGATTCAGTATCAAATTCAACATTCTATTTCCGTACGAAGAACTACGTTTTTCTTCGGTTTGTTCCAAAAGAAATCGTGTATGACTAACACTCATGGCGGCGTTTTCATCATCCAGTTTCATCAGAATTGATACATTCCAAAATTCTGCGCAACCTGAATAATCAATGAAATCAATGTCCGTTTAATAAATTGGAAAGTAGCGATGTATTGCCCATTTCAACTTCATACCTTTTACTACTGAACGTTTTAATATACCCTCTAGTAAGCCACTTCCTAAAGCGTTTTCGGTAGGAAAAGCATAAAATGTTTCTGTGCCTAAGTGATCCGGCAACGAACGTTGTTTTTGACTTAGCTGCAAGGGCTGTGGGCTGGAACGCTGGCGCGACAAGAAATTATTATGCACCCAATCATAAATTTCACAGTGATTGTAGATTATTTGGAACGTTTTAAGCTTGACGTAAAGATTTAAGATGTCGTTTTCCAACTAAGGATAAAGTAAGATATTAATAAAATGTTGTTCTTGTGGCAGTATGAAAATAGTTTTTTACTTACTACTGAATCAATTGTGAATTGCTCAATAAAAAGGAGCTTTTCATATTTGGTGTCAATGTCCAAATGTTGTAGCAGGACTTTGGTAAATAGTGTTGGGAGATTTGCATCCTCATTCAATGATTTGGAATTGAATTTTCCGGTAATCTAAAAGTAACATATGTATAACGTATATATATGAATTGAAATTTCGCCAGAAAATTAAGGTCCTTACACTGAACAACTGTATTTTTGCACTGAAGTCATTTTGAGAATTCTCTTTAACCGCAGAAAATGTAGCTGCCTTAATTACAAAATTAAAATTCTTTGGTATTATAGGCGCAATCTTTTGATAAGATTCGTTACTGAAACTTTTACGTCGCTGCGTCAGTGAATTGGCTGTACTTCTTACTTGGCTTTCCAAATTTTGCTGTGGCCTGGTACGTTGTTTTGCTTCGCTCAAGAAATCGTATAGGCTGCCATGTATTGTAGATCGCGCATTGTTCATGGCTAATGAAAGTTTCTAAAAGACTTAAAAAATTAGGTTTTTTTTTAATGATATTTTCAAAATGTATTACGTCTACGGATAGAGGTCCATGTGCAAATAATGTGGCGTCCAAAGCAATATCAAAACTAATTTCGCCTAAGCAAGGACGAATTTTATTAAGATTCTCCAAAGATTGCCGGCGAGATGGACAGTGTCGTAACATTTTCGCCTATAAACAAATAACACCTATATATAGCGGTCTATTTTATAATACTATTGTTTTTTTTTACCTGGGCATCATTAAGGGCCGCGTTAACTAATAATGTTTTGGCGTTATGTACTATACTTCCATCTAGATGCAGTTCTCTAGCTGTAGCATGAATAAACCATCCCGGATCGAAGTTATTATTCATGAGAACTACAGAAATATTGTTTATATGCATGGCCATAAACTATGAATTATTAGATTGAAAATTGGTATTGTCATAAAAAATCATTACTTTCAAATTGAAAATTCGCACCTGTGCAAAAGTGAGAATACTTGGCGGAACTTTGGCACGCCGGAAATCAGGCACATCTTTTTCCTCTTTCTGTTGAGATTTGAATTGCGTTCGTTCAGAATCGCCTAGTGTCCCCAAAGCCCCATCGTTGCTCTGGATATCTTTATTTATGCGTAGATCCCGTATATAGATAGAGAGCAACTTTGTCACCTCTGTGTTAAAGAAGCTGCTACGTAGGCAAATTTCTTCAATTTGCTGAAAAGTTATTTATTTAATAGGGAAACTGCATATTAAATGCACTTAATAGGTACTTACCACCATGAATCCACTTTTGCTAACGTGCACATTTCGTAGAGCTAAATAACGTAAGCTAATGCCGCCTATCCTCACTTTTACCCTAAACTTTTTTACTAAATACCAACTGATTCCTTTAGGTAGTATCCTTAAGAAGCAAACGAATAATTGATGTTTCCGTGAACCTGAATCAAGTGTTCGACTTCATTTACTTACCAGTATGCCAGTAAAAATACTAGCACAATGAATATTAATAACTTCAAGAGCATTCTCCCAATTTTATTCGTCACATCATCTTTATGAATAATTAACTATGACCACCTTTTATGCAAATTTACAAGAAATATGAGGATCACCCTGAAAATTTAGAAAATACTTTATTGACGTTTCCCACCTCACAAATTAAATCAGCTGTTTGAGTTATAGCTGGAAAACAATCGGTAGTATCGATGTTTTCCAATTTCCGCCACTATCGATGTTTTTTCTATAACTATCGATGGTTTTTTCCCATAAGTCAAGGCATATCGAATGATGGCATACAGCCAGTATACAGCCCGATTCTGAACATGATGCAATAACACAGTTGTTATTGGTTGGCAACTTCTCTAATTTCGCCATATTGACTGCCTTAGCTGAATCAGTGTTACGTCTTTAACAATTCTTTGCCTAATAATGTAGTTGTTTTTTTTTTTTTTTTCTCTGTATACACATTTTGTTTCCTCAAAAAGGTGTTATATCTTATTTTATTTAATTTCATTGCGAAAATACTATAAAAATATATTGTTTAGAAGAAAATATGCAATCTTATATTTTTCCCCCAAATGGGGATTCATTTCTACCCGTTTTTCTTCTTATGCTACTGAGCTAAGGCCATGATTCAATAATACAAGGTTCGATAAACTGACAGTTGTCTCTCTCGCACCGCTCCCTTGGCAGTGGCAGAGTGTTGCTTCTTTGCAAATTTCCTTGGAAAAAGTGTAGCTGTTCTGTGAAATAGAAGTATAAGCTTTTGGCCCTCGCTAGGGCAGGTACCTTGTCGTTGGCCGATCAGCCCATCTCTGGTCTGGGGTATCGTGGACGCGCTCGTCGCTTCTGCGCTACCTTGTCTCCAGATTGGGGCTGCCGGCAAACGGTGACCAAGAACTGCCACCTCCTAATCCAGGGTGTTACGCGACACCGTGCCTATTGGACGGTTTGCAGCCAGGAGGAAAAACCGGCTGTATTATAACGGCGCCTCTTCGACACCGGGCCGCATCGAGGAGTAACGGTGGCCTTACCGCGACATGGGGCGCTGGCGCGGCGGACCAGATAAGATCCCCTATTACAACTTTGACTGCTGAGCTTGCCTAGCCGAGCTGGCAGTCGTACGAACAAGATGAATACAACTAAAAACCAAAAAAACACAAAAACAACAAAAACCATCGCGAAATCCGCGAAAACAGCTACAGCTACAGCTACAACTACAGCCACAACAGCTGCAACAGCCACACCATCAGCAACAGCCTCTACAACAGTCACAACTACAGCTACAACAGCAGCAGCAGCCACGAAGACAGTTATGTCAAGGGCACCAAAGGTACCAACGGTCAAGCTCGGCAGTTCTATGCTGGGCGAAGGTAAAGGCACCAGGCGCAGGGGAGGCTTTCTTGCGAGCCTATCCGAGGAGGAGGCTGCCCTTTTTATTGAACACGCCAGAGAAGATGAGAGGCCAAGCACTAGCAGTGGCGGCGTGGATCGGGCGCAGCTTCGGTCGGAGGGCACCAAGGG